CCCACACACACACACACACCCCCGGCTTCGCTTCTCCTGGCTCGAAGAGGCTGTTGTGGAGGATGAAAATACCTGCCCGTTCCCTCTCTCCGCCGCCCGGCTCGGGTTTTGTACCAGGACAGCACGGGAGGAAAAGAGCCCGGAACGGTAAAGATGTGGCTGTGTCCCCCCTCCGTGGAGTGGGGGGGGGGACACGGGGGCTGTCATCAGGGGAAAATAGTGGTTAATGGTAAACTGAGGAGCGTCTGGTTCTGCAGAGAAACAGCCTTGAATTCCCCAGGAAGCTGGCTCTTGTTGAGAAAGGTGCAGAAAATAATGGCTTTGTAATCTTGCACACGAAATTCTTCTCTCCCTCTGTCAAATCCCTGCCAGCCGGGATGAATCGGTAGCAGCGTGTCTGTTTTCGGACGGTTTCGGGTTAAGGAGCGTGGGGATATTCGTGCTTCTGTGGCACCCAGATGTGATAAAAACACTGAACCAAACCTGGCGACTCAGACAGGGCTGCACGCGTAAGGTGCTTTATCCGGGGTTATTGTTTTTACCGTTCTAGTCTTGTTCTTGGCTGCACAGATTTTTTATTTGCGAGAGGGTTTGGTGGTTGTTGTTTGGTGGTTTGTTTTTTTTTTATTACCGCAGAGTAGCTGGTTACAGAGCAGAATAAAGAATAAAACCACGCTGGTAGCGGTGTTCTGTGGGGAAACATCTTCTCATACAGCAACAACCTTTTTTTGCTTTTTTAGCCTTTGTCTTGAAGTTCATTCCGGTACTGGGAGAGCTTTACATCAGGGTTGGACCGAAACAAGTTCATTGTGGAGGAGTAGGGAAGAGTTTTGAGTTGGGTGGAGGGTTTTTTTTGCCGGAACTGTGCATTACCTTCTTCCCGTAGTAAAAACCAGACAAGTTGAAAATAAGCCAAATTCTCAAGGAGTATTTGAGGGCTAGATTAGATTCTTTTTTCACTTTATATTTGTACAGGGAGAGTCGGTGTGTTATAGAAGGGCTTGCTTTGGGCTGCGGCAAGTGCCTTTAGACATCATCCCCTTTCTTGGATCTGTGTTCGTTAGTAAATGGAGGGCACGTCTTTATTAGCCCTTCGCATTGATTATCTCTGACCCACTCACCTATATATCCTGGAAGGGACGAGTTTAGAACTCTTTAGCTTTAAATACATAGGGTTTTTTTTTTTAGCGAGGGTGGTTTGGTCTGAAAAGATTCTAAAATGTTGGTGTATTCACACCGACAGATACATTTTTCAGAGGGAGGGCATGGGTAGAAATTCAGCTGTGCTTCCCAGAAAACAGTTTGTAATGTTTCTGCTTTAAAAGTAAAAGTCCTGTTCACCGAGGCGAGCTTTTAGTGTAATAGTTCACGTTTAACGTGACGTAAGGACGATTATGCAAAAATGTGTTGAGACTGGAAGCTGCTATTCGAAGTTGTTGAGTATTGTCAGATCAACCCAGACAGCACGGGGTTGACTGCTCGGTGGTTAGTACTCCTCCTGCAGAGCCCTCTCCTTCCCGCTGCCTGCCGGGGTGGCTTCCCTGCCCGAGGATTGCTAAGTAGGGCCTTGGAGTCTGGAGTCTTGTCTTGGGGGGGTTTAAAAAAAAACTTGTTGCAGAGTTGTGACTGAGGTATATTGTGTCTGTTACGGACTTTAAACAAGGAGCGAATTATTGAGGGGGAGTTTGGTTTGGGTTTTCAGACTTAGTTTATTGTCTTTTGTTAAGCCGCGTAAACAGATCCCTGAACTGTTGTGGTTGGGTAATTTTAAAATCCAATCTAGATTAGATTTAATAATAATTTATTTCTACTGTAGTAATAAACCATGGCAATGCAATATGGACTAAGCTCCTTAAATTTGACTTGCATATGGGTTTCTGGTACGTATGTGTAGCCAGCCGTCTGTTCCAGGAAGAATGGAACTCTTTCTTTTAAATGGAAGAATGAACTCTGGCGTGCCCAGCCGAACGAGCATATTCTAAATAAGTCCCTTTATAGGAGGTGTGGCCACCACAGAGAAAATAACCACTTACTGTAGCAAAGCAAACAAAAAGGGAAAACATTACCCAGATTGACTCCTAATTTTCTGTGGTGTCGGTTTAATGTGGAGCGTGCCCTGGCAGATTAGAGTCCTGGCTTATATTTGGGGTTCCTGTGCCGCCTGTCGTACCTAATGCGCGATGCCCGACGGGCTGCAGCTGGGTTGCAGCAGAGGAGGGGTGTCCTCTCCTGCTGCTGCACGGGCTGGGACTCTGCTCCGTGTGAACGTGTCGGCTTCCAAAGCCCCGAAGTTCTTGTCACTTCTTTAATCTGTTTCATCTGCGCCCCTCTGGCCTGGGATGGCATCTGGAGACCGAGTGGCTGGCGTTCGCTGTCGCGAGCTCGCGGCTCCCGACGCGCCGTCGCAGAGGGAACGTGCTGAGGTGGTTCCCACTCCGCAGTTGTGTGCCTGGAGCGGAGAGAAATGATCCAGCGCAAAGCTACCTGCCTGTGAACAGGAGTTCTGTAGGAAACGCCTTCCTTGGCGTGAGAGCAACCCTGGGACCACTTCAGCATCGAGAGCCTCCTGGCTCCGAAGCCTTCCCCGCGCTGGGATCTCTTGCTCTGTGGTGTCTTGGGTCCCATCGAGCCACGTTGTCAGGCTTAAATAATTATAGTTGCTTTTTTTCCAGGCTGTGAGCAATACATGTAGTCTCCTCTACATCCTTAAACAAAAACAACACCACAAAAAGAAAAAGCACCATCCTTTCCAGCTTCTTCCGGGAGTCTTCAAACCCTCCAATTAGCAGGAGTTGATTCTGGCTGTAGAGCATTTCTTTATGGGGCAGTTTGTCCTGTTAAATAAAACGTGAACACCCAAGGGTGTATCTGACACGTGCACCAGGCCAGTGCGTTTCACAGCATTTCGCTCATCCCAGGATTTCAGGATCCCCGACGTGAAGGGAACTCTTAACTCTCCTGAAGGGCGCTAGTGGCCTCCGTAATTCCTAGGTCTCGCTTGAGCGTAGAGCTGCTGTGAAATGAGGTAAGCTGAGAGCAAACCGAGAAACTTTAAATGCTTCAAAATCAAGTTGCCTTCTAATAATTAATCCTGTCTGCGTTCAGAAGGGTGAATCGAACAATCTCAATTACCCTGATCCCGTTTTTGAGTCTGCTGGGTTTCCAGGCTCTTAAAGCCTTTTTGTATTTCAGGGTTGCTTGGCTTTGCAGTTTGGAGATGATCCTTTTGGGGTTCTTTGTTCCCTTTGCTGGGCTGCTCCTGTGCTGCTTTCTACCCTTCTGGTTGGGCTTTGTTGGTTCAGGCAAGGGGGGTTGTGTAAACAGAGGGACGCAAACAAAGCGGGCAGGGAGTATCGATAACTCTTTGCAGCCCACGGTGTCTCTCCTTGCTCTTTTCTAGCAGCAACCTGCAAAAGCTGACGTTCCGCTTACCCTGGCCTTTCATTTTCTGTGGCAAGAGAAACTGTTGCTGCCATAACACAGCAAAGACGTGAGGTAGTGCAGCTGTGTCGCAGCGGTGTTGTTTCGGCAGGTACCTGATTGATAATGCGGCTCCTAAGGAATGAGAAACGCTGTCGAAATAAAAAAATACAGATC